GCAGGAATGTAAAGGAAAAAAAAAACTCAGTCCTCACAAAGATTCTAATGACCCTTTTAATCTTCTGTATCTCTTCTACAAAATAAATAAATAAATATCAGTCTCTATAGTTTTAAGACCAGCAACTTTTCCATCCCCAAATTTATACTTAAAAAACAAATGACCACTATCATCACTGGCTTCTCACTAATTCACATGACTACACAAAGAATGGTGATTATTACCGTTTCAGTGAGCTGCACAGTATAATTGCCCCACTGATACTGTCAAATATTATTGGAAAGCAAGAGAGCCTGGCATAAGCAGACCTAAATTATCTTATTTTTCTTAATCATCAATAAATGCTATAAATTTATTCCCCGTTTTGGTTTTTTTTTAAATAAATGCAAGATAAAATGCCTTCATTTAGGAGGGATTTTTAAAAATGTGACATTATTTTTGCCAGATATAAGGAACCTCAAGCAAGGAAATCCTTATAATGCCCTAATTTTGCAAAGATTTGCCCATATGCTTAACTCTTGTGCACACAGAAAAACTTAAATAACAATGAATAGTTTAGTAGCACCTTAAAGCTTTTGTGGGCATAACCCACTTCTTCAGATGACTGGAGTATTAAAAGTCCAGATACAAGAATAAATAAAGGGGGAGTGGAAAAAAGGAGAAAAAAGTCAGTGAATAGATTGTTCAAGTTACAAAAGGCCAATCAGAACAATTAGCACCTCCATTGGTTGGTTAAGTCATTAGGATGTGGAAGGTAGTGTGTGAGCCAGATGACATCTCTGTTCATTCTAATCTATTAAGAATTAAATTTGTAAATGAAGTTACTTGGAGACCCATTAATCAGTGTCCAGACAGATTAAGTGTTCTCCAATAGATTTCTGTATGTTGCCTTTTCGAATATCTGATTTGTGTCCACTAATTCTTTCCCACAGAGACTGTCAAGTTTGGCCAATATACACTGCAGTGGGGCATCTGATGGCATAGATCACATTAGGGTAGCCTTCCCAAACTATGGGCAGTGGCCCGATACCGGGCCGCAGGAAAAAAATACCGGGCCTCTGCATGGTTGCTGGGGTGTTCTGGGCTCCCGGAGTGCCTGTGTGACACCGGGTCCGCCAAGCCCTTGGCCAGCCTGAGCATAACCTGCAGCCCAATGTTCCGGATCCCGGCAGAGGAGTAGCTAGGGGAGGTCAGGAGTGGGGGGGAGGGGAGAGACCAGGGGAGGAGGAGGAGGAAGGGAGAGCCGGCCACCAGAAGCAGCACTGGACAGGGGAATTGGGACAGGCTTTGGAGATTTGGGGTAGGGGGCAGCCCGCGGAAGCAGGGCTTGATTGGGAGGAGGTGTAGGGGAGAAGCAGGTGCCGGAAGCAGGGCTTGCCTGAGGCATCGGAACTGGCCGGGAGAGATTTGAGGGGCTGGCGGAAGCAGGGCTGCCGGGGGTAGGGAGAGGGCCAGGGAAGATCGGCAGCCAGAAGCAGGGCTGGATGTGGGCAGCTGGGCTGGCCAAGGGAGATTGGGAGGAGAAGCAGGGGAGAACTAGCTGTCTGGGAGGGGGTTGGGGGAAGTGGGGCTGGACAGAGGTGCAGCGGGACTGACCCAGTCACATAGCTCTCGGGGCACTGCCCCCCCCCCCACACAAAGCATGAGTTAGTCCGACCTGGGGATTCTATTGTGACCCCACCCCCACGAGTAGTTGCGAACTGGCTGGCTGGTAGACACACTCATGCAGTCTGAGCACATTTAGCAGCCAGGCAGTTTGAAACTACAAACTGATACATCTAGTAATAATAAAATGCACCGAATGAGAAAATACCAGACGTTATATGTCTGGTATTTTCTCAGTTTGTTCTTTATGTGTTTATATTTTTAGTCTGCAAAAAACAGTACTGAAAAAAAAGGGTTCCAACTAAAGTAAAAAGTTGGGGAAACCCTGGTCTAACCAGCTTTCTGTCTGTCTTCCACTCCATTTTTCCAATCCATATTCTTTAACTTGATGGCAAGAATGTTGTGGGTGACCCTATCAAAAGCTTTTTTAAAGCTGGCACTGGGGGCTTTGGGAGGACCAGAAACAACTTATTTGAATATTCATCATTTGATAAATGAATATACAAATGAATGTTACCGGTCCTTCAAAAGTTCGTGAATGGATTTACTGGTCCCCGTGTCAAAAAGTTTGGGAACCCCTGCATTAGGGGATGTGCCAGGGCAGGTTAAAGTGTTCTTAACCTTAACACTTTAACCTGATGGAGATCCATTAATGAGTGCTCAAAGTCACCATCTTGTTTCAGGCCAATTCCAGGAGCCAAATGCACAGGGAAAGGTTGGAACTTAACTTCACCTACAAGGTTAATTCTTCCACATCCTAGTGACTTAACCAAAAAAACAAACAAGGAGGTGATAATTGTTCTTATCAGACTCTTGTAAGTACTTGAATAATCTATTCACTGTCTTTTTCCCTCCCTCCCCCCCCTTCTTTATTCGTGGATCTGTACTTTTAATACTCTAGTCATCTGAAGAAGTGAGTTATGCCCACGAAAGCACATGCTACCATCTACATGTTTTGTTAGTCTTTAAGTGCTACAACACTATTTGTTGTTTTTTAAATTTTTCTAGTTACAGACTACCTCGGCTACCCCTCTGAAGCTCTTCTGCACCTTGCTGATTTCACTGAGTCCACTCTCCTGTATATAAGTCTTTGCAGGTTCAGGGATGAAATGTGTGTACTTCACCTCTTCTCGTTTACACCCACAGTGTAAATTTTCATGATCTTTAAAAAGACATTTTGCTAGTGCTGAATACCTGATTTGCTGAACAGAGCCAGTAACATTTGAATTAACACCCCAACACATACCTTCCAAATGCTCTAGTTTATAGAGTAAATCCTTTAAAATAATCACGGGCCATTTGGCTACTATCTTCCCCGGGGCTGCCTCTCTGTGTACGCTTAAGGGGACAGGGTACCAAGTGCGTAGCACGCTGCCCCGGGCTCACCGCATCAGCTCCATCCCACTCAGGCGCTGCAACCTTTCTACATGCAGCGTCCGCCCCGCGAGCGGCTGAGACAGCAACGCCTGTAACGGAACGCGCTGTTCGCCCCGCGCCTGTAGCTGAGGGAAGCCGCTCGGCGAGCTGGAAACATGCCCCCGGAAGGCCGGCAGGCGCCGCGTGGGAGGAGCGGCACAGAGAGCGAAGAGCAATGGATTTGGGGCGTTGTAGTTTTGGCGCGTCATTGGAAAGCGTCTGAAAAAAACTCCCCGGCGGTGAGCGAGGCCGAGGGGGGGGGCGGGAATCCCTTGCAGCAGGGACAGCTGGGAAGTTGTGTTACTCTCTCCAGGCCCTGCCATTGGCTTCTGCTCTTTGCACTGCTGCAAACGTGACCGAGTCAGATACATAAACAGCAGCAGCCCGGGTGAGTTGCCACCGCCAACAGGCAGAGCACCGAGTCGTGGGGGAACGGGCCCCGACTCCAGCCTGCAGCGCCGAGCCCGGGAGGCTGCTGCTCAGGCAGGATGAGTACGTTTGCATGCAGGCTGGAGCGTAGCGGGGACTGTGCAGGTAGCCCTTTCCCGGCTTATTTCACCCTGTGCTCACAGGAGTCCAGGGTTTGGGGGAGGGAAGGGTCAGCAAGTGGGTCCATGCTTGTGGCATTGAAAGATGAAGCGGTGTATGTGCCTTGTTGTCTCCTTGTGTCGCACAGCCCCGCGCTTGCTGGCTGAGCCAGGAATGAGAAGGAATTCGAGCTTTTCCCCCAAAATAAAAATGTTTCCAGATTCAACCACTTCCTCCTCAGCCAGGAGACTCCCCTCCAATGCTTTTAAAATACACAGTGTCTGCCGCCTTCTAACCAGAAGATCTCATGGATTTTACACAAAAGATGCGGGTATCGCTCACAGAAAAAACATGGGAATCCTAAGACAGCTAGTGTGTCAGGTAACTGCTTCTAACATTTTCCAGGAATGAATGAATCCTTGTTCAGAATATATGGACTAAAGAAATCAGATTCTAAACTCCAGTCTAGTGCAGGAATTTGGGTAACCTCTGGATTACATGCAAAACAGGAAAAGTGTGTGAGAGGGCAAACTGGCTGAGTTCTTGATTAAGAATGAGTTAGCAATACTATTAAACTTACCTCAGAAAAAAATCTGGAAGAGATGCAACATCTTTACCGGTCAAACCTGACAAATATTTTATGGCAGAAAAAATGACAATGCCATGTGTAAATCACTTTTACTCTGCAATATAACCGTGTTACTCTTTCTAAGACCATTCACTCAGATTACTTGAATCTGGGTGGCTACTGTAAATAATGAATACCATAACTTTAATATTATATCAATTTAAAGGGCACCACCAACTTTAAATTTTACTTCAAAACTCATAGGTTTTGCCTATTTGTGCAGGCTGCCCTAAGGGAATTCTGTGCTTAAAAAAAAAAAAAAAAAAAAAATCTGCACTAAAATAACAATTCTGCACATCTATTTTTTAAAAATTTGAAAAAAGTCATATTTTATTTGTCAAAATAACTCAATATAATCATTCTAACATCAATTATTTTGGTAAGTTATTTCAAAATACCAGTCAGCAGGTTCAGGATTTTTTTTAACTAATACATTTCTTACTGGGCATATTACTACAGAACTTTGAGCAATTTATTTAAACTTCAATACAGAACTGCATTTCCTGTTCCCCTCAGAAGCAGTGCAAAGATTTGGGGTAGGCAAAGGTAATGCGGGAGCTGAGGGAGAAAAAAGGAGCATGGGAGTGAACCTGGAGAATTGTTGGATGTGGCTGGGAGAAATATGGAACAGCAATTTTTGGCAAATAGGGGAATTATTTGGGAATAAAAGACCCTCTTCCATGCTGCCCCTGGCTGGTCCCATGTGGCACTGCAGGGGTGCTGGCATGCCCCTACTTTTAACCAGCCATAAGGGGGAGTGACAGGGGCATAGGGCCACAGTTCAGATGCTTCCACCACTCATGCCTTACTGTTCGGCCCCTCTCTCAGTGCTGTCACCCCACTAGTCCTTCTGAATAGCAGTCTGTGACCACCCCATCCCCCTTGTGCCACTTTATCCCCTCCAGATCCCAGAACTCTTTAACTGGGCTCCATGAACAGGGCCCTGTAAGAAACACAACCAGCTGCTGGCTTTTGCTACTGATCAGATAACTGCTGGGTGTTTTGGCACCACAGTGGCCCCTGGTGAATAAAAGGCAGAACTGCAGAGCCTCTCCAAGACAATTTTCTGCAGAGACATGAATTCTGCATGTGTGCAGTAATGCAGAATTCTCTCAGGAGTAACTATCGCACTTCAGTAAAGCCTCTAGTACACTAACAAGAGAGCCTCTCCCAGTGGTATAGTTAATCCAACTACATAAGACATATTAGCTGGTGAGAGAAGTTCTGTCAATATAGTGCTGACTAGTTGGTGGCTAGATTGGTATAAACAGGCCCATGGATAGGCATGGGGGAGAGGGAAATTACCCTGGGACATGTAGATTCAAAGAAGCCTGAACTCCCATCTGCTGCTACTACTGCTTTTGCAGCTGGAGTCTTGGACCCCTTTGAATGCTGCCAGAGGGTGGCTCCATGTAGCTCTGAGGGCTCGGGGGGGGGGAGCCCATAGCACTAAAAGGTGTCTGTTCCAGGCTCCATCTCTTCTGGGGGCAGAGTCACACCCCCCCCCCCCCCCCACACACACACACAACTTGCCCCTGGGCTCACAGTGGCTGTCAGCCCCATTCGGTATAAGTTAGGGATTTTTCACAACCCTTGGTGACATAGTTATACCAGTGTAAATTTGTGGTATAGAGCTAAACTAAGTGCAACAGAATGACTTCCACAATTTAAAAAACCAGGAGTTGTCTTTAAACAAATAAACATGGCTCTGAAGTGGAAACCAAACATTGCAGCAATAGGAAACTGAAGTTGAAGATGACTATAAATCAAAGTGAAACGGATTTAAAAAATAATTGCCCAAGCTGAGAAAAATGTACAAATAGCTCAAATAAGGATAAGTAAATTAGTATATATAAATCACTTCAGTTTTAACAATCTAAGGGCTTCTGCCTTATTCATGCAGCCAGATGTGTGAAAGGGAATTCCTGCACCCAGATGAGGCTCCCTGAAGCTAATGGGACTTTGTCTGACCATAACTTGACTACATACTTCTCATTAAAGGACTGGGGTCTTAATTAATACAGATAAAATTATTTACAACCCCATATCCTGATATCATTAATGTACAAGTAATTTTTTTTATGCATGTGAGTAATTCAAGTGAAGTCATTAACATCTTGGCTACGTCTAGACTGGCATGATTTTGCGGAAATACTTTTAACGGAAAAGTTTTTCCGTTAAAAGTATTTCTGCAAAAGAGCGTCTAGATTGGCAAGGATGCTTTTGCGCAAAAGCATCCGTGCCAATTTAGACGTGCTTTTGCGCAAGAAAGCTCCGATGGCCATTTTAGCCATCAGGCTTTCTTGTGCAAAAAATTAAGGAGCCTGTCTACACTGGCCCTCTTGCGCAAGAGGGCTTATGCCTGAGCGGGAGCGTGAAAGTATTTGTGCAAGAAGCACTGATTTTGTACATTACAAAGTCAGTGCTCTTGCGCAAATTCAAGCAGCCAGTGTAGACAGCTGGCAAGTTTTTGCGCAAAATCTTGCCAGTCTAGATGTACCCCTTGAGTTCCTTATGCAAACTACTGTGTATATTCTCTTCTATGCCTTCTTCTAAGAACCAAGAGTAGGCTGGATCCCAAAACTCCACTAATTCAGCGGGACTACTCACATATGTATGGATGTTCATGCATATTTGCAACATAAGAGCCTATCATTAAGCTGAAAGACTTCCATGAAAATTTTATTGACAATTTTATTTTTAACCTATCAGTTAATAATAAACATTTATTTCCCTTAGTGCCCGGATCTAGTAAAGCATCTCTTTTCTTTTGTTATTGTTGTTTGTTCTCTTATAAAAGCCCATACATAAATGTTATTACATTTTCCTCTACCCTACCCCCATCCCACCTCTTCTAGACTTTCTCTTCAAATATTTTTTAAATCAAAATCTCGATTGCCTTATTTCAGTGACTACTGTATTCACAACTGGGTCCATCTAGTGCGCAATTATAGAAAGAATAAAATAATTTTTAAAATAACTATATAACTTCAGGAAACTTTATTATTTATTAAAACAGTCCTTTATGCGTTCAACGGACTATGTTCAGCTAACATAAGCTATTAAGTAGTAGGGGCAAGTGAAATACTTTCCAAAGCCGCAGCTTGTCATAAAAGCCTTCTATTCATTGATTATTTCAGGAAAATACTAAATTCAAGAATGTTTGGACAACTCATTCCACATCTCCTATTGTGTATGAGCAGGGAAGAATTTATTTTGACAATTATCGGTGCTGCGTGAGCAGGTAATTATTTGACTGCTAAAAATTGCAATTATTTTGAATTTTATTGCACAGGCTCTGATCTTAGAAACTCCCATGAGTAATTCCACTGAGTTGAATGGGATCACTTGTGTAAATGTAAATAGCCATATGCCTATTGTTCCCAGGATTGGACCCTTATTTTATTATCTCTAAGTGTTAGACAATAACTGTAGCATTAAATATTGCATTGCTTTTGGCAAAGTAAGGCTTGACCCTGAGAGATGCTGCCAATGTTCAACTATTATTGGTCTTTAAAGGGAATTGAAGATGTTCAGCACAGCACAGAATTCAAATTAAACAGACTGAACACAAGTTTTATTTCTTGTAGTTGTCACCATACCTCTGTGGGTCACATCTGAGGATGACAGATTCAGGACAAACTCCTGGGAAATAGGGCAGTCTTACCATAAATTGGTGGTTATTCTATCATTAGATTATAACAAGCCAGTAACAGAAATAAACTTCACTCTTACCACATTGATTAATAAGAAGTCAAAGGTGTAGTCTCTTAAGACATTAGAGTCCTTGTCTCACCTTGCAGACACTAGACTCTATGATGAGTCTTAACCAAAAAACAGTTGCATCAAACATAGGATTCTTCTAATTCCATGAGATCAGAACATAGCCAGATAAATGTATGTGTCAGGTATTACCCAATAATCATGCTGATGCCAATCCTTTAGTAATTATAAACTAAAAGATTAATAATAATAAAAAAAGAATAAAAAAGTTAATAATAGTTAATAGATCAAAGATGTACAAATACTTGCAGAGTTCTTATATCAGGTTCATAGCAATGATGGGATAAACTGTTAGCTTATAAGTTGCTCAGGTGACTTCCTGAAGATTGGAATCCACAGTCCAGAGAATCAGGGCAGGAAAGAGATAAAGAGGAGATATCTCATGGGTCTTTATCCTCTGCGATGTGCCTGGAAATTTACTGTCTCAAAACAAAGCTCACAGCCCAATTTGTGGAAAGTTTCCAGCAGGTAAAACGCTTCGAGAAGGATGTCATATAATAAGTCCAAAGAAGACAGAACTAGAGACAGAGTTCATTTTAGGAAACATTTGTTACTATTTTTAAACCATACAAGAATTCTCAATTTCTGGCACCTACGCCATGAAAGGTACAACAGTCTGATACAGTGGAAGAGATTCCTCCTGATAACATTTAATGGATCAAATTCTGCTGGCAGCTACACAGTACAAGTCAGTTAAGTGACTCTGCATTTACATAGGTGTAACTCAGAAGAATTTAGCACAATAACATGTTATAAACTGATAGCTCCCCCTTAGCCCAAGTTCAAATCTATATAGGTTCTTATATCACCACATCACTGTAGAATCTGAGTACCTTCTAGTCATGCAATAAGCAACATGACTAACATCTGTCATGTGTTCCTCATTCTTTTTCTTCTCTCATGAGGCAGGGGGAATTGTGCATTCTGTGAAGAATTTTGGTTGGGGGGGGGAGAGAGAGAGAGAGAGAGAGAGAAAATGCTGCTATAAATTTGCATTAGAGAAAGCAAGGTGGAAGAAGTGTGTCATGCACTTGTAGCTGCAAGTGATGAAGTTTTTGATGGTCTTTTGTTCCTGAGTTAATTTTCTTATTTCCTGTTTAATTCTTTTAAAAATTATGTTACTAAAATAAGAACATTACTGGTACATCTTGACTTTTCACCTAGCTAAACATTTTAGACATCTTTTTAATGGCATATTATCTTGGGAGGGTGCGCATCTTACTCAAATTCTGAGATTACTACAGAGAAACAGTGGCCAAAATAAGAATAGTCCTGAATGCTGACTGCATGAGGAGAAAGTAATGATTTAACTGACCTGTTAACAGATGGGCTACGTCTAGACTGGCATGATTTTCCGGAAATGCTTTTAACGGAAAAGTTTTCCGTTAAAAGCATTTTCGGAAAAGAGTGTCTATATTGGCACAGATGCTTTTCCGCAAAATCTAGACGCGCTGTTCCGCAAAAAAGCCCCGATTGCCATTTTTGGGATCGGGGCTTTTTTGCGGAAAACAAAGCTGAGCTGTCTACACTGGCCCTTTTGCACAAAAGTTTTGCGCAAAAGGACTTTTGCCTGAATGGGAGCAGCATAGTATTTCCGCAAAAACACTGACAATCTTACATGAGATCATCAGTGCTTTTGCGGAAATTCAGGCGGCCAGTGTAGACAGCTGGCAAGTTTTTCGGGAAAAGCGGCTGATTTTCCGGAAAAACTGGCCAGTCTAGACACAGCCATGTAGTTTATATGTAGTAGACTGACTGTTTGTAATCCTTTCTTCTTAGCATTGCACAAGAGCCAAGAATACTTTATCAATTGCCATCATGTTCTAAATCAGAAAAAATAGAGGATGCATTATTATTGGAATGCCCATTGGTAAGGTTACTTTTTTACTGAGTACATTTTGAAACATAGTAACTGTTTTAGCTGTGGAAGAACAGTTCACTGATAATGTAGACAAAATTGAAACCAAACATTTCATAAAATGGGGATGATGTTTCTTATTAAATTATAGCCAATTTCTGTCTTCAGATGCCTGCAGAAGGCTTCCATTGAAGTTGGTTGGAGCTTTGCTGTTATTTCATGGAAGAAGCCAAGTATTTAGAGACCTATCTGCTCCCCTCAAACATTTTCAGTTAACCTAAATATCTTTTTCAAAACATTATACATTAATACATTATGTTATTTGCTTGGAGCAATTACAGGCAGTCCCCGACTTACGTCGGATCCGCAGTTACGAACGGGGTTTGCTCCGCGTCTCCCTGGTCTGCAGACCAGGAAGACGCGGAGCAAAGCCGCGGAGGGGATCAGGCAGCGGAGCAGCCCAGGCGCGCCTGGGCTGCTCCGCTGCCAGAGCCCCTCCGCGGCTTTGCTCCGCGTCTTCCTGGTCTGCAGACCAGGAAGACGCGGAGCAAAGCCGCGGAGGGGATCAGGCAGCGGAGCAGCCCAGGCGCGCCTGGGCTGCTCCGCTGCCAGAGCCCCTCCGCGGCTTTGCTCCGCGTCTTCCTGGTCTGCAGACCAGGAAGACGCGGAGCAAAGCCGCGGAGGGGATCAGGCAGCGGAGCAGCCCAGGCGCGCCTGGGCTGCTCCGCTGCCAGAGCCCCTCCGCGGCTTTGCTCCGCGTCTTCCTGGTCTGCAGACCAGGAAGACGCGGAGCAAAGCCGCGGAGGGGATCAGGCAGCGGAGCAGCCCAGGCGCGCCTGGGCTGCTCCGCTGCCAGAGCCCCTCCGCGGCTTTGCTCCGCGTCTTCCTGGTCTGCAGACCAGGAAGACGCGGAGCAAAGCCGCGGAGGGGATCAGGCAGCGGAGCAGCCCAGGCGCGCCTGGGCTGCTCCGCTGCCAGAGCCCCTCCGCGGCTTTGCTCCGCGTCTTCCTGGTCTGCAGACCAGGAAGACGCGGAGCAAAGCCGCGGAGGGGATCAGGCAGCGGAGCAGCCCAGGCGCGCCTGGGCTGCTCCGCTGCCAGAGCCCCTCCGCGGCTTTGCTCCGCGTCTTCCTGGTCTGCAGACCAGGAAGACGCGGAGCAAAGCCGCGGAGGGGATCAGGCAGCGGAGCAGCCCAGGCGCGCCTGGGCTGCTCCGCTGCCAGAGCCCCTCCGCGGCTTTGCTCCGCGTCTTCCTGGTCTGCAGACCAGGAAGACGCGGAGCAAAGCCGCGGAGGGGATCAGGCAGCGGAGCAGCCCAGGCGCGCCTGGGCTGCTCCGCTGCCAGAGCCCCTCCGCGGCTTTGCTCCGCGTCTTCCTGGTCTGCAGACCAGGAAGACGCGGAGCAAAGCCGCGGAGGGGATCAGGCAGCGGAGCAGCCCAGGCGCGCCTGGGCTGCTCCGCTGCCAGAGCCCCTCCGCGGCTTTGCTCCGCGTCTTCCTGGTCTGCAGACCAGGAAGACGCGGAGCAAAGCCGCGGAGGGGATCAGGCAGCGGAGCAGCCCAGGCGCGCCTGGGCTGCTCCGCTGCCAGAGCCCCTCCGCGGCTTTGCTCCGCGTCTTCCTGGTCTGCAGACCAGGAAGACGCGGAGCAAAGCCGCGGAGGGGATCAGGCAGCGGAGCAGCCCAGGCGCGCCTGGGCTGCTCCGCTGCCAGAGCCCCTCCGCGGCTTTGCTCCGCGTCTTCCTGGTCTGCAGACCAGGAAGACGCGGAGCAAAGCCGCGGAGGGGATCAGGCAGCGGAGCAGCCCAGGCGCGCCTGGGCTGCTCCGCTGCCAGAGCCCCTCCGCGGCTTTGCTCCGCGTCTTCCTGGTCTGCAGACCAGGGAGACGCGGAGCAAACCCCGTTCGTAACTGCGGATCCGACATAAGTCGGATCCGCATAACTCAGGGACTGCCTGTAATTTCCTTCTTTGACAGGATTACTTAACTAATGGATTGATGATGGGGAAGAGGAGAGAAATCTGTACACATAATATATCTTGCTTTTTGCTTAGGCTTTTGACACAGTTGCACATGACATTCTCAATCAAACTAGGAAAATGTGCTATAGAAAAAATTACTGTAAGGCAAAATGGTTGAAAGACTGTACTCAAAGAATAGTTATTACTGGTTCTCTATCAAACTTGGGGATATATCAGAGGGAACACCCGAGGGGTCTGTCTTGGGTCCAGTACTCCTCGATATTTTCATTTGATGACTTTAACAATGGAGTGGAGAACATGCTTATAGAATTTGCTGATGACACCAAGCTTGGAATGGTTGCAGCTACTTTGGAAGGCAGCATTAGAATTCAAAACAACCTTGACAGATTTAGTCTGCAGAGATTTAGTCTGAAAACAAAAAGATGAAATTCTGAAAGACAAGTGCAAAGTAGGGATGTTAAATTTCAATTAATCAGCTAATGGAGTAGTTGATGGAATTTCTGTCAACTACTCGATTAGTCATTAAGAGGGGGCGCTCGCTAATCCAGCTGCACGTCAGCCTTTTAAATGTAGTAAGAGCCCCACGGGGGCGCAAGCTTACAGAGTCTGTGCTTAAATCTTCAATTGTAGTACAGGCAGTCCCCAAGTTACGCGGATCCGACTTACGTTGGATCCGCAGTTACGAACGGGGCACTTCCTCTCCCTGGTCTCGAGCAGACCAGGGAGAGGAAGCAAAGCGGCGGCGGAACACGCGGCCAGCTGACAGCCCAGACGCGTCTGAGCTGGCCGCGTGCTCCGTGGCTTTGCTCTGCTCTGCTCCCCCTCCTCCTCCTCCTGGTCTGCAGACCAGGGGGAGGGGGAGCAGAGCAAAGCCGCGGAGCCCGAGGGCAGCAGGATAGCCATGGCGCGTCTGGGCTGTCCCGCTGCCCGCGTGTTCCGCCGCTTTGCTCCCTGTCCCCCTGGTCTGCAGACCAGGGGGACGGGGAGCAAAGCAGAGCAAAGCCACGGAGCCCGAGGGCAGCAGAATAGCCACGGCACGTCTGGGCTGTCCCGCTGCCCCCGTGCTCCGCGGCTTTGCTCTGGACGCCTGTGGTACAGCAGCTGGGGCACTGCCGGTTGGTCCCTTAGCGCCGCTCTGGGCGCCACTGGACCAACCCAGCAGCACCCCAGCTGCTCTGCCCCAGGTGTCCCCAAGTCAGCAGCTGCT